TTATTTCTTTTTTTCAGAATTCCACTATACCCAGGCCTATTATTAGGAAAACTTTAGTGTTGTATTTTGAAATTCTTTTAGGATGTGCTCTTTATTTCTTCATCGTTCAGATATCTGAATCTTCATCTAAAGTAAGTAGATACTGTTTTATGAATTTTAAAAATGCAGTACAATGTATGTCTTATTTTATTACAAGTAAGAAACAAATATAAAAATGCATGTTTTTTTCTGAAAAATCTTTGATTGTAGATCATTATGACAATGGTAGGATTTGTAATAGGACTGAGTATTTATGGACCAATATCTTTGTTTGGGGTTATTGCTATGGAAACTGCTCCTGATGGTATTGCTGGTACTGCACATGCAATTGCAGCTATATTTTCTAATGGTAAGTATTTTATCAATTCAGTGTGAAGGGTTTTGTAAAAAAAAAAAAAATTCAAAATTGCAAGTGCTGAAACTTGATGAAATATTGAACGTGGTGAGAATCAATCAAACAATAATAAGATGAGAGAATCCTCTAAAATTGAAGTATTTTTAAGAAAAATGAATTAGAGAAAGAACTTATTGCAGTATCTATTTTTTTCCTGACATCATATAAACGTGAAACTGCAAAAATGATAATAATAAAGGTGCTGTATTGTAGGACAGTACACCATTATACAATTATTGACTTCAGTGTAGGTCAATATTTGGTTATAAGGACTCATGACAAGACTTAGTGATATTGACCAAAGACACAGGAAGTGATGGGGAGGTCTTTATCATTCTTTATAACCACATATTGACCATTCACTGAAGTCCAATATAGTAATATCAAAAAATCACTCGAAGTGAATGATCTCACACTGTTTTGACTAAACTGACTCGGCCATCATTACATCACAATTGTAAAAACATGCTTCTTATATTATGATGTCACGTTCTACATAATTTTTGTGCAGTCAGATACGGTGTGTGATGTGATATCATATTCCACGGACGACTTTTGCATTAGTATCACGAAGACAGTATCATGTGATATCCCTGCAGCCAATCAAATTATGAAAATTATCATCTTATGTAATATTGTAGGACAGTGCTGTATTGTGACACAGGACTCTAATGTAGGACATTACTGTATGTGCAGTATTGTAGGACCGTGCTGTATTGTACAGGTAGGACAGTACAGTATTGTAGCACAATGCTGGATGATAGGACAATACTGTGTTGTAGGGCAGTGGTGTATTTGTAGGACAATACTGTGTTGTAGGACAGTGCAGGATCATAGGCATTACTGTGTTGTACATGTAGGACAGTGCAGGATCATAGGACATTAATGTGTTGTACATGTAGGACAGTGCAGGATCATAGGACATTAATGTGTTTTACATGTAGGACAGTGCAGGATCATAGGACATTAATGTGTTGTAGGACAGTGCAGTATAATAGGACAGTGCTGTATTGTAGGACAGTGCAGTATTGTAGGACAGTGCAGGATCATAGAACAATACTGTATTGTAGGACAGTGCTGTATGACAGGACAGTGCTGTATTGTAGGACAGTGCAGTAATGTAGGACAGTGCAGTATTGTAGGACAGTGCTGTATTGCAGGACAGTAATGAATCATAGGACATTAATGTGTCGTAGGAAATTTACTGTATTTTAAGGACCATGCAATATAAAAGGAGAGTGCTGTATTGTAGGACATTATTGTATGGTAAGAAGTTACTGTAGTTTAAGAACCATGCAGTATTGTAGGACAGTGCTGTATTGTAGGACAGTACTGTATTGTAGGATAGTGCAGTATTGTAGGACAGTGCAGTATTGTAGTACAGTGCTGTATTTGTAGGACAGTGCAGTATTGTAGGACAGTGCTGTATTGTAGGACAATACTGTATAGTAGGACAGTGCTGTATTGTTTGACAATGCTGTAGCATGGGACATTACTGTATTTCAAAAACCATGCAGTATTGTATGAGAGTACTCTTTTGTAAGACCATCCAGTATTGATGGACGGTGCTGTATTGTAGGACAGTGCTGCATTGTAGTGCAGTACAGTATTGTAGTACAGTGCTGTATTTGTAGGACAGTGCAGTATTGTAGGGCAGTGCTGTATTTGTATTGTAGGACAGTGCTGTATTGTAGGACAATACTGTATTGTAGGACAGTGCTGTATTGTAGGACAGTGCTGTATTGTAGGACAGTGCTGTATTGTAGGACATTATTGTATTGTAGGACAGTGCTGTATTGTAGTATAAGACTGTATCTGGACAGTTATATTTGTTTTTAGTTTGTTTTTTTTTTTACATTCTAAGACTGCTCTCTTGTCTATTTTCAGTTGGTCTCATGTTAGCTGGCTATCCACTGAGTTGTATTGCCAGTCTTGTAGATTGGCACACAGCTTTTCTTCTTGTGGCTTCCCTAGTCATTGCCATGGTTACCTATCTTCTCCTTAAACTCCAGACAGAGTTATCAGGCTTTAAATCTGCATCAGGAAAAACACTCAATATATACAATGTTTTGCTTAGTTGACAATATATAAAGACCTATGCAATATATACTTTTTAAAATGATTACAGTATATCATTGTTAGGTCACCTGATTAAACTCAGGTGACCTATTGCTATCTGTTTTCGTCCATCGTCATGCGGTGTGTGTCGCACGTCGTGTGTTAACATTTGAACATTTTCAGCTTCTTCTCTGCAACCACTCAACCAATTTCCACCTTTGGCATAAAGCATCTATGGGTGAAGGGGATCAAAAATTGTGATTTTCATGGTCCCTGCCACCATGGGACCTGAGGGGTGGGGCCAAAACCACTAAAATTAATGCAATCTTTAAAAATCTTCCTCTTTACTCCTGGACATCTAGCAGTCAAACTGTTAGCATGAATGTAATGAGCATTGAGTTCTCTACCAAAATTGTGAAATTCATGACCCCAGGATCAGGAGTTCTAGTGCTAGGGTGGGGCTCTATTGATTATATAGAGAAAATGCAGAAAATCTTTGAAAATCTTCTCCTCTGCTCCTGGGTATCAAACAAACTAACTAAGTATATAATTATGATGAGCAAGAATGCCTCTTCCAAAATTTTGAATTTTATAACCCCAGGGTCAGGGGTTCTGGTCTTAGGGTGGGGCTCTATTGATTGTAAAGTGTAAATACATTAAACCTTGAAAATCTTCTTCTCTGTTCCTGGTTATTAACTAAACAAACTAAGTACATAGTTATGATGAGCAAGAATGCCTCTTCCAAAATTGTGAATTTTATGGCCCCAGGGTTAGGGGTCTGGTGTTAGGGTGGGGCTCTATTGATTATATAGTGAAAATACATTAAATCTTTGAAAATTTTATTCTCTGCTGTAGATCACTAAATTTTCGCGACACCTTATTTTCGCGAGATAGTCATTGACTCTTCATTAGCGAGACAAATTTTTCACGAATTGTTGTTATTGCTCTATATATTCTTAAGGAATATATTATACACGAGAAATAAATTTTTGCAAGCACACTGTCTCGCTTAATTACGGGAAAATAAAGTTCTTGCGAATAAAAAGTGATTTACAGTATTAAACAGATGAACTACCTATATAGCTATGATGAACAAGGGCCCTTCTTACAGAATTGTGAATTTCAAGGCCCCTGGGTCAGGGTACCATAAAAGGGGGGGCTCTACTTATATACTGAAAATGAACTAAATGACAATATTTGAAATCTGCTCCTTGGTAATAATCAAACATTTTTGATAAGCAATGGTGTCTTTTTTTTCCAAAATTGTGAAATGTGTGGACCAGGGGTTCATATGTGGCAGTGGCTCTACTGATTATTGCTGAATATTACTGATTAGATGAAATGCATTTTTGTTCCCCAACCCTGTCTATGGGCATTAAGTAACCAAACTAAGATTTCTAAGTGTATAGTTATGATGAGCAATGGTGCCTCTTTCAAAACTGAATGCCATGGCTTCTAGTTTAAAACATGAACCAAATTCAATCATTGGAAAGTTGTTGCATGATGCTCAGGTGACTTATAAGGCCTGTGGGCCTCTTGTTTGCTTTACTGGTCAAAGACCAGGCCTCAGAATCATGAAACACTTCAGCTTAAGTCTTAATCTTTCTGGTGGACTAAAACATTGTTGAAATCGAGGGATTTCAAATTAAAAATATTTCTTCAATATTGCTTTATAAAGTATTGTTAATTGTAAATTTAAAGGCTGATTCAATAAACATTTTACAAGCCATTGAAAGTTTGAAATTTTCAGTTTTCAGTCTGTTTCATGATCCTGAGACCAGAAGATTTTATGTCAGAATAAGGTGTCTGTCATCCATCAGTCTGTCAAGCTGTCCAGCCATCTGTAATTTTTCAAAACCCTAATCCTATCCTCCTACAGTTTTAGTCTGATTTCAGTATAATTTGGTACACAAGTTACCAACACTAAGATACATAATTCAGGTTATCAGGGTTTTTTTTTAATTTTTAATGATTGCTATTGCCATGGTTAATAAAAATAGAAAATTCTGTACTTCCAAAATACTACTCTTCTAGAGTTTTGGTTTGATTTCAGTATAACTTGGAACACAAATAGATATACTAATATACATACTGTAATTAAATATATGTATAATGGTTTTTGATTTCCATGAACGGTGTTGCCATGGTTACTAAAAGTAGGAATTTCCTTGAAATACTTTCAAAATGCTTCTCTTACAGTCCGATTTCAATAAGACTATGCACACAAGTAGAACATACTAAGATGCATAACTCTATTTATTGCTGTTTCAAAGTTTCAAATCCAGGTGCTACTTTTCTATTTCTTTCTTATAAGTACAAACCAGTAGAGCTACACTTTCATGAGAGACTTTTGGTTATTTTAAAGGTCTTGTATATGCATGTCTGAGAAAACAACATGGATTACTTCAAAAATTATTGTACAGTGTATTGTACTTTATTGTGCATGAAAAACTTTCTTATCTTCCCAGCTTTCATAATGCCTGTGTTGTGAATTGTTAAGAAAACTTGCACATTTCAATTTGTTAAGAAAATCATTATCAATTAATAGTTAAAATAATTAAGAACTTCTATTGATCTGTTATAAAGTATTTAAAAGGTTGTGCTATTATGCACAATTCTATATGTATGTATATATTGTATGTATACTGTACTGCTGATGGTGTTGAAGTACTCCAGAACCTCCAACCATGTGTTCATAATCAAGTTAAATTTTATATATACTGTTAGGCTGTGCCTCTGTTATTTGATAAAGGTTTATAAGAATACATGTGATATAGTAGGTCTGATGTTCATAAAGCTGGTACTCTGCCCTGTGTTTTAATTTTATACGAGGAAGACTTACTGTGGGTGGATGACCTCTACATTTTGGGAGGGGGTGGAAATGGGAGGGGGGGGGGGGCTGTAGGATTTACAGACTTAGTGGGCATCATAATTATTATTTATATACTGGTAAAAAATTGATAACGTCTTGTGATTCACAAGACTAATGATGAACTGGACTCAGTTTCCCACTGTTTTGTCTATGAATATACCCACAAATCAACCAATCAGGTCGTATGCCTCAAAAGCTTGGGTAGCTCCAAACCAACCTATCAAAATAAAAGTTGTCATTGAACACACCCAATGAAATTAAAGAGAGTAAAAATTTGTCATATAAGTTGCAACCTTTCCAAATAATGATAAAGTTGTCATAGGAAAACATTGTTTGCATTTTTAAAACTTATTTTCACTCCTAGATCATTTATAATTAATAATTTATTGAAGGTACATGTAAGCTAATAGAGGGGAGAAATGGAGAGATTAAATTTATTAAGTTTATTACCACATACAAAAATATTAAACAACAATATACTGGCTTTGAACATCAGACCTGCGATATAATTAATTTTGTATGTACATGTAAATAAAACCAATCAATGTATTAAAAAAAATTCCCAACATACATTTTGTTACAGAATGTATTAATAAATATTGATGGGAAATGGATATTATTTTAGTGTTGTATGTAAATACAATGGTGTTGTCATGGTTTTTATAAATGATATGTAAATTAAATTCCAACTGAAATATATTGGTACAACACCTTGTTTTATAAATCTTCAGTTCAATTGAATTTATACCTATCTTTAATTCTTTTGAATTCTTTTGAAGATAGGTATACTTGATGTAAAGATAGATGCAATTGAATTAAATATAGGCACAATTGAGATTGAAACATATCCACAGAAGAATTAAAGATATGTACAATTCAATTGTACCTAGGTTCAATTCTTTTTCTACTATTGAAAATAATGAAACCTCCCCCTTACAGCGACTTCAATAAGGAAGGAACTATGCAAAGAACTTTTATTGGGAATAAGTAGTTGTTATTGTCAGTATCTAAATAATTAAAGATAAGTTCAATTCAAATGCACCCATCTTGAAATCAATTATACGGTTCTTTAATTCATGGTATTTGTACATATCTTCAAATCAATTGTGTCTATCTTCAAATGAATAAAAGATATGTATAATTGAATTAAAACTATCTTTATTATTCTTTAAAGATAGGTGTAATTGATTTGAAGATAGGTACGATTATCTGAAAATAGGTACAATTTCCTGAAGAGATACATACAAATATTTGAATATATGTTAATTTGGGATTCTTTTCATCAGAATTGTTTTGTAATTTTCAATGATCATCTATAATACCAAAAAATAAATTGAAAAAAAAATTGATACTATTTGGTAATCAAAGCTTTATGTCTGTACAATTACAGACATTTTACAAATAATTCAGAGAAAAATTTTCATCATATATTATATGAAGTATAGGAGATAACGAACAATATTCAACCTCAAATACCCATTAAACAATACAAAATTGTAGCAGAGCAAACAACATGAACAAAGACCTAAAAAAAATCAGAGATGGGATTAGGTGCCCTGGAGGAGTGAGCACCACTGCCGACTGATCAAACCTGCCTTATGCTTCTAGTCCCGATCAGGAAATATAAAAAAAAAATTGTCGACAGTTCAGTGTGTATACAGTGTATATATAATGGTCAACAGTTATTATGAAAAATGTCAGTCAGAATTTGACTTAATGATAAATTGTATTATCTAACAAGGTCATTTTATCTACCATAGAACTTCATATGATGACTTTATGATGAGACTGAAGAGAAAAAGAAACACAAGCTTTTGAAGTAAAAGCAATTTTTCCAGTTTTGCCATAAAACATTGAAATTCATGTTTAATCAACGAGTTACAAAAATCTTACACATGTATGATTTTGACTGAAAATTCATGAGTTTATGAAATTCATATGTCGGTCCTGCCCAAAAGTGAAAATAAAAATTCTTGTCATCTCCCTTGCGTATCTGTCACAGCCTCAGCCTGTATTCACCTGTGCATGGAGTTCATCAGTGCATATATCTTTCTCATAGGGATATTATTCAACCCTACCGACAGGGTATAGCCCTAAGTTGGTTGAGAGTAACTGTAGGTTCTAAAGCCTTCAAACCCTACTGCCCAGTTTATCCCACAAATTTTCTATTGGAAAAAATGATCAATTTTTACAGAATCTAGCTGGTTTGGTAAATGTGAATGTTTGTAAGAAAATCTTGACAAACATTGGCTACATTTTCCCAGTGTGAACATGCTACAAACAATACGCATGCGACGCATAGAGTATTAATATATAATACTGAGGTAAAGTTGCCGAGCTCACAGACCAAAATAGAGCAGCGAGTTTCTGTCAGTTTTAGGGTGAATGTTACGAATTTGATTGCCTTCTGTATTAATATCGGTTTCGATGGTAATACCTTGACAATTACCAAGATGTATGGCAAGCGCTTTTACTATTTATTCATGAAATAAAAATTTTCTTTCAATAAGAAAGATATCTCTCTAGCATAGCAAGATATCTCTTTAGCTTATAGAGATATCTCTTTGAATAAAAAAGATATCTTTTAACCTTAGAGAGATATCTCTTTAAACAAATGAGATATCTCTTTTTGTAAGAGAGATATCTCTTTTACTTAGAGAGATATCTTTATAAGTTAGAGAGATATCTCTTTCAGCAAGAGAGATATCTCTTAAAGTTAGAGGGATATCTCTTTTAGACTATGGCATGTCAAACGTTGCAATATTTGATAATCTTGTGATGTATATTCAAAATCTTGTGATGTATGTTCGAAATCTTGTGATGTATATTCAAAATCTTGTGATGTATATTCAAAATCTTGTGATGTATATTCGAAATCTTGTGATGTATATTCAAAATCTTGTGATGTATGTTCAAAATCTTGTGATGTATATTCAATATCTTGTGATGTATATTCTAAAACTTGTGATGTATATTCTATAATCTTGTGATGTATATTCGAAATCTTGTGATGTATATTCTATAATCTTGTGATGTATATTCAATATCTTGTGATGTATGTTCAAAATCTTGTGATGTATGTTCAAAATCTTGTGATGTATATTCAATATCTTGTGATGTATATTCTAAAACTTGTGATGTATATTCTATAATCTTGTGATGTATATTCGAAATCTTGTGATGTATATTCTATAATCTTGTGATGTATATTCAATATCTTGTGATGCATGTTCAAAATCTTGTGATGTTTATTCAATATCTTGTGATGTATATTCGAAATCTTGTGATGTATATTCTATAATCTTGTGATGTATGTTCGAAATCTTGTGATGTATATTCGAAATCTTGTGATGTATGTTCGATAATCTTGTGATGTATATTCGAAATCTTGTGATGTATGTTCGATAATCTTGTGATGTATATTCGAAATCTTGTGATGTGTGTTCTACAATTCAGTGATGCGTGCAATAAAATTGCATGACGCAACAGAAAAGTAAGGACAATTTTCATTGGTTAGAAATAACGAAAGTAGCCGGAGCGGTCGTAATGCACACATTGACACAACTTCGCAAGCATGAAATTGGCGAATTCAACCTAAAGTCAAAATTATAGGTAATAGAAAAATTGTTTTGGTATCAAGAAGCACTAAGTCAGTCATAACGTGAAAAGTGAGAATCAAGAACATTAATTTGATTTGTTTGAAGGTACATCAAAAACAATTGAGTGGCTTATTGCTGGACTAAAGGATGTTTTATCCTATTTTTACGTCCTCATATTGTAGTGATGTTGATTAATCGGTATGATTTATTCTATATTGATGCTAGTTAGAATAATCTAACTGTGTCTCGGGACAAACTCTCACCACGCAGGGTTCGAAATTGCATGGCCCATTGCAGCTGCATTGACCGTAGCACTAGTCCAGGGACGACTTTGCAATAAATAAATAAATAACACGACAAATTTTTAGGAGAAGGTGAATGTCAGGAAAAGATTAATTGCTATGCATCATTGAATATTGTCATTCACAAATTTGTCCAATTATTTTTATAGTAAATGTATTGAGCCGGGCTCATTTACAGGATAATGAACAAGGACTGTGGTGACAGTTTAAAATCACGTTCAGACGTTTAGAGAATATGTAATACACACAAAAATATCTCAATGGCATGTATAATATTAAATAGTTTTAAAAATAAAATAAAATATAGCTAGAAATTAACAGCGAAAAATATTTATCACGTATCGTTTCGGGGTAATCCGGTTTTATATACAAACAGAAGTAAATAAACACCAATGCAGCAAGATTAAGGTCAAACGTCTCTGTACTGATGTGTCCTCAGCGGGGAGATTTGCATCAAGTCATTAATGATGTTCCCTGCATTTGTGTTAGCCTGATAGTACAACCTTTATTTATAGAATCAATCTAATTCAAATTAGATGTTAGATCCGCTTGCATACTCGCTACACTAACATCTAACAACATCCTGTTGAGGGTCACGTCAGAGGTCAAATTCTATCAATTAATCAAATCGCAGCTGGCAAAATCATCATATATTGTTGAAGCGAATAAATCTTGAGGCGTTCCGAATTTAACCTCTTACGTGACCCTCAATGGGATGACTTGTTAGATGTTAGTGTGGCGAGTACGCGAGCGGATCTAACATCTAATTTTAATTATATTGTTTATAGAATATGATGCAGACAGGGATACCTGGTGAAAACCTTTTGCACCCGTTGAATTACTTTGTAAAATATTAAAGGAGCCAGGAAAAAATATTAAACAATTTAATATTATGATAAAAATATTCAATTTACTATTTCTTAAGGTGTTGAATGGATTTTGTTTTCTCAACAGCGGCTGGTGCACGTACCATACTTTTACTCGTAAACTCAATTTGGCAGTGAAGAAGCAGCATTTTCTGTTGCTCACCGTCGCAATAGCTGAGCATTGCTCTACGAGCAATGTGCCCAGCTAAAAATCATAATATTTGTAATGATATACAGTTAATTCTCGATAAACCGCCACCTTTTGTAATTTAGAAATCATGGCGGTATAACGAATTTGGCGATGATTTGAATTTCCCATATTTTAGGAAACAATAAGTAGAGTTACCATTCTTAGAAATACCATTAAGCGTTTCTATTCTTATAATTACATGTATGTATACAAAACATATTTCTAAATTTTAAAATACTTCAAGTATTTTTTTATGTACAAATCTTTAAAACAAATTGTGCAGTTATGAAATAAAGACATGTACATGTGCATTTATGTACATGTAAATCGGCACGTCTGATATAGAAAAAAAACATGCTGGGTCGATCGTCGTGATATATTGCTGACAGTACGTAAAATAGTTTCTTGAATAAATTTATTGTTTATGGCATCATTGTTCGTGAAACGTTCACAATTTATACTGTATAATCATTTTTAAGCAAACTTTGCATTGTTTAAAGCAGAGATCATCAAAATAATATCGTATTCGGCGTACTTTCACAACTACCGCTTTCGTGGCGAAGCCGTGACTAAATGATTTTTTAAACAAAACAACAGAACAAAATCATTGTAACAGTTCATATTAAAATTATTTGTTCATTTAATTCTAATTTAATTATTTAATTGCGTGTACCTTCTCTGGGTTTGCATGCTTTACAACAGGGATAGTGTCAACCAATTAGCCGCGCTTCACTGACCGCACGCACCTGTGGCGGTATATCGAGATAATTGACACTTAAAAATGGACGTTTGTTTTGAAAACAGGGTGGCGGATGGCGGTATGCGAATTTGGCGTTATAAAGAGAATTTTATATAGCAGGAAAAACGTTCTTGGGAAATCATGGCGGTATTGCGAAAATGGCGATGAATCGAATGGCGATAATTCGAGAATTGACTGTATCATATTCTAGACTTGACATACAATAAACAATGATAAGAATTATTGTCGCATATCTGCAGTGATTTTTTTTTATCTTTCTGTGGTGATAATTTATCCCATATCACATGTGTGATAATACTTTCCAAACATGTTTCAAAGTTTTTACACTCTTTATCATACAGTTTTAAAGAACAGTTTTATGAGCTCATAAGTATATTAAATGGTTAATTTATCAAAACCTGCATTTAAAAATTCAGAAGTCTTAAGTTAAACCAAATTGTCCAGGGTATTCTTAGTAAGGTATGTCAAAGGTCATGGTTAAGTGACTTTGTAAGGCTGGTATTTTTTCTTTAGTTTTATGGCAATCAGTGCACATGGTAAATAGCATAAAATTACCCTTAGAGGTCTTATGCAAGGAGATAGCTAATTAAAATGAACAAATGTAGTTCTATGTATGATGTATATAGAGACAATAATATTTCTTTTCTTTTTTCATTTTCAGGAACTTTACGTAGGTCTACAGTTTTAATTTTGGACTCATGCACTAGGAATATCATATCAGCAGAATTGTGCCACTGAATCAAAGGGAACTCTTTTTTTTTAGGTACGCATGATCGATGTAACTTCCTCGATGGTGTGTTGGCTGTTTGCCCATGTGTATTTCGGGGTATAGGTATGTTTAGTCTCAGTTTTCTTTCTTAAAAGCCGCATAAGGGGTATATTTTTTCTGATCTCAAATTTTGTCTAAGCATTAATCTTTTTCTCATTCATGAATTATCTGCTGAGAGTCTAGTTAATTAATTTATTTAATTAAAGCTATATAGTAACATATAGTGAAATTATTTCCTTGTGTGAGACCTAAAGAAAATCAGGTTACTCATTTTTATGACAATTTCTTTGATTTCGGGAGTAGTCTCCCCTTTTAAAGATCCAAAATGGTGATTTTACATTGCGGCATGCAGTCTGGTCATCAACGAAGAGTTTTGACACCTGTAATACCCATATTTCTACCATTCACCTCTGTAACCTTTGTTGAGTTCATCAGACTGGTAAGAAAAACAATATTGTTAATTGAAATAATTTTATCAAGATAAATAAAATAATTAATGAAAAAAAAATTACATGAACAGACTCCCTCATATAAGAAAATGTCACATTTTACACATTGCAATTATACATCATTTACATATCCACATTTTCCCCATTTACACATGCAGTTGAATAGATTTAGTGCTTAATAATACATAGCAACAATTATTACATGAATCCTAACGGGTGAAACACAATATAGGGAACAGTAAGGTTGCGCTTGGGGGTAAAAAATTAATGTCTTCATTTTGCCCCAAAAATATTTTTTCTAAAAAGTAGAATATATAAAGGATCTCAAACAAAAACGGTTTTGTGAAATTCACATTATAACTTTGTTTTTTACAAGCTGATAATAACCTCATTTTTATAGGTTACGGACACTACAAGTGTTGTTTTCTTTGAAATAAATATTAAAAACTGTTTATAAGCTCTAATTTTTTCAACTGCTCACAAACAAACAACATATAAAAATACAAAATATGGACAAAATTTTGACTAAAAAAGGTGGCATTATACTTTAAAATAAAAAACAGTTCTTACTTCGTATATTTTTGTTTAAAATGGTAGTATTTCATTTCATGTGAACTCTTTAAAACCAATATAAACTAGGGCTAATTGTAACGGGAACCGTTACAGATGTTCCCCAAACGCTCCCCAACTCCCTTTTAGTGCCATATTCCCTGTAATATACTAAATGTGAAAGCATTAAGTCCAAAAGTATTAAAAATCACTCATTCAAGTGTATTTCTAATTTCATTCGTTCCAAATGCACGCACATGCGTGCACGTGCATGATGACCATACCTTCTTGTAGGAGTCCCTTATATTTATCTATGTTCTGAATCCCATCCTGTTTGGTTGAAAAACAAGGGAGTTATAGCCATTCCAAGTTTCAGCCAATCAGATTGCAGCACACGTGCATGCGCGTGATTTCATGATTTTTTTTCTATATCACATTGTAGGATATCCTACTGAATGATTATGTTTTAAATTTCAAAGCATTTCGTCAAAAAACAAAGGAGATATAGTCATTTAAAGTTTCAGCCAATCAGATCGCAGCACACGTGCATGCGCGTAATTTCTTGAAATTTTTTTGTATATCATATTGCAGGACATCCTAATGTATGACTATGTTTTAAATTTCAAAGCATTTCGTCAAAAAACAAAGGCGATATAGTCATTTAAAGTATCAGCCAATCAGATTGCAGCACACGTGCATGCGCGTGATTTCATGAAATTTTTTCTATATCATATTGTAGGATATCCTAATTCATGACTATGTTTTAAATTTCAAAGCATTTCGTCAAAAAACAGAGAAGATACTGAGGTTTTTGTTTTAGCCAATCAGAGCGAAGCGCACGTGCATGCGCGTGAGTTCGTGCTAATTTGACAGTGTCACATTATGTACACTATTAATTTATCTTTATATAATGAGTTTCAAGTCATTTCATTAAAAACTGTAAAAGATATAGCTATATTAAGTATATAAGTCATTTCACGTGTTGCACGCGCACGCACGTGCATGCGTATGCGCGCAAAATGACCTTCGTTCCGCACATCTACACTACACACCCATTAACCCTAAAAAGGTTTTAGGTCAGTTGGGTGAACAGTTTCTGAGAACACTTCCGGACAAAAAAGTACCGGAGAACAAATAAGAAAAAAAAGAATAATAATAATAATAACTAGTGCTAATTGTAACGGGGACCGTTACAGACGTTCCCCAAACGCTCCCCAACCCCCTTTCGGTGCCATATTCCCTATAAGCTTCATTAAATAAGACAAACTCTACGCATTTGAGACTTTAACAACGTTTATTCAGAAGTGTACCAATTTCATTCGAATTTTAGCATTGCACGCGTGCGCATGTGAATGCATGTGCGTAATGACCATACAATCTTTTCTTTACAATCTATAGATTTTAATAGACTAAATATCAAAGTATTTAATGCAAACATATTAAAAAATACGCTAATTCAAGTGTATTTTTGATTTTACTCATTTCACGTGCACGCACGTGCTCACATGATCATGGCGACCATACTTTCTTGTAGAAGTCCATTACATCTATCAATGTTCTAAATCACACCCCGTTTGGTTGAAAACCAAGGGAGTTATAGCTGTTCAAAGTTTCAGCCAATCAGATTGCAGCGCACGTACATGCACGTGTATGCATGTGCATGGTGACCATGTTTTCTTGTAGAAGTCCATTATATCTATCCATGTTCCAAATCCTATCCTGTTTGGTTGAAAACCAAGGGAGTTATAGCTATTTAAAGCATAAGCCAATCAGATTGCAGCGCACGTGCATGCACGCGTTTTCAAAATAATTGCTATATATCTTATTGTAGGATATCCTAATGCATGCCTATATTTAAAATTTCAAAGGATTTCGTCAAAAAACAAGAAAGATATTGAGACTTTAGCTTCAGCCAATCAGAGCAAAGCGCACGTGCATGCGCGTGAGATCTTGCTTTTTTGACCATGTCATCTTGTGTATGCTTCTAATACATACTTCTAATATAAGTTTTAAAGCATATCATCAATAATTTAAATAGTTACGTCTGTATCAATTATATTGGACATTTCTCGTGTTGCACGTGCGAGCTCTTGCAAGCACACGTGCATGCACATGCTTTCATGATATTTCTTTTATTACGGGCTGTAGATCTCCCTAATGTATGACTATGTTCAAAATTTCAAATGATTTTATCAAAAAACAAGAAAGATATTGAGACTTTAGTTTCAGCCAATCAGAGCGAAGCGCACGTGCTTGCACGTGCGATCTTGCTATTTTGACCATGTCATCTTGTGCATACTACTCATATATTCTTACATTATTAGTTTCAAAACATTTCGTCTAAAAATAGAAAAGTTACGGTTATATCCATTATATATTGGTCATTTCAAGTTTTGCACGTGCGCGCTCTTGCAAGCACGTGCGCGCAAAATGACCTTGATTCCGCAAATCTATATAACATGCCTACTTACCCTAAAAAGGTTTCCCCTTAATCGGATGTGTACTTTACAAGATCATTCGCGGACAAAATTTTCCCGAGAAGAAAAATAATAATAATAATAATAATAAGAAACAGAGTAAAAACAATACGTTCCCCAACTTCGTTTGGGGAACATAACTAGAAAAGAAACTCGTTGCGAGCAACGAGAGGTCTTCCGTCCGATTCAGAAAAAAAATGTAAAATCAAACTGAAAAAGTGATTTAAAAAATCGGAAATATGGGGGATCGAACCCGGGTCGCCAGCGTGAAAATCCATTGCGGTACCCATTACACCTTTGGGAACTCGCTTCAAATTAACATTCGAATTACGTGAGATTGTTTTTTTTAAATTCCAACATACATTACATTTTTTAAAAATTCAGTTTGGAATTATAAAAGGAGAGTTAGCTTGCCAAACTTTTAAATGTCGCCATTTGTCTACTAATTAAGTCGGGTCACGATACATTATTTCGTGCCAAACGTCACAAGTAGTTCTTAACGCTATACTTTGAAATGTTTGATCTATTTAATGGATCTGATAGTTTCAAGGAAAATTAGAAATGTATCTTCTTATAACCGGAATTTTGAGCGTTAGAATGTATATTTATCACATTGTTCAAATATAATATCGTATACGGCCAAGTAACACTAAAGCAGTGAATTCGGTAAGATTTTCCACAAATTTTGTATACTGTTTACGCCCAAAGTTCGGATGAGTTACACGTTCATGAAAAGACTCGAATGTTTCACTCGCCCTCCGACGGTGAAGGAATCTGATACTATCTATGTTCAATAACTTGCATTTATTACAGGAATATTTATATTACCTTTAATAAACAATCTTTAAAAAAAATGTTTTTCTTATTTATGTCTTTTCCATTAATTCAATATGTCACAAGCCAGCGTGGAAAAATAAACAGAAGTCAAGTAATACTTCAGAAACATAGTGAATATTAAGTAAGGCAAGTTTCTTGAAAAGCTATTAGTTACAACCTTGGTTTAGGATAAGTTTTTCCTGGTACAAAACAAAATATTGTAGTCATCATATTTCCAGTTGTAGTCATGTTGCATTCTACTTTGAGATGCAGACAAAAACAATTTCAATAGACGTTTGAGGAAACCTCATATTAAAACTATACTCAATGCAACGTAATTGCAATGTAGCATTCTAAAGAATCCTTTACATTTCATAAATCATTTTGGTAGCAGCTTCGTTCATCTAAACGCTCAGCTGACCTTCTAGAACCCGACTTGCTTAATGGCGGAGTTTACGGAGACCGCCGCCATCTTGGACACACTTCAGATTTTTAAATGCGAATATCTAGTGTGTGGATTGATCAATTCTAAAATAAATTGTATATTAGGCTTTTCCAGTAGGGTCTTAATTACCATTTATTACATCAAACAAAAATATTGAAAAACAAAAAAGTTGAAAAAGTGCACATTTTGAATTCACTTCCTGTAGCGACCGGAAGTACTGACGACACAAACGAAGGCAAAATTGCACATCTATAACTGATGGTCTATCATCTCTAACAAGTCTCCAGTTAATATCTTGAGCCGTTTTCGAGAACATTCGAAGACAAAATTACATTTTAAAATAAGGAAATTGCCCATAACTTGGCACTGGTTGGGAATTTTCCAACAAACGGAATTTTATATAAAATTCATATAATGACCTATAATTCCTGAAATTTTCAATGAAATCCACTGAATAGTTTACGAGAAATCGCCTGCACAAAATTTGGTCAGAAGAAAAAAGAATAATAATAATAAGAAACAATAGAATCACTATAAGGTCTTCCGTGAAGACGGAAGACCTTAATAATAAGAAACCGAGTAAAAACAATATGTTCCCAAACTCCGTTTGGGGAACATAATAAAGAAAAACTATTTATAAATAACACTTTTAATGCGTTTGGTGAAATATAAATACTTCCATTAAAATAGGACATTTCATTTTTATGAATTTTTTAAAATAATTTGATAGCTTCATTAAGTTACGGACATTACAAAACCCAAATATTTATGATTGGCGTTTGGTTTGTGGTGAAAAAAACATTTTATAAACTTCTGAACTATTATAAATCAGATTTAAATGATTATCAAATACAAAGTACATACAAATTAAATATTGTTTCAAGAAAGAACAATTTACTTGCAGAACTAATGCCAACAGAAAAAAATCCACTTTAGGAAATCCTGAAACTTTCTTCTTTCACATAACTACATGTATTTATTAACTGAAGTGCAAAAGAAAAGTTATATTATTCATTAGAGTTTTATGAAAAGTATTTAGAATGTAGGTACAATGATCAATGAAGTCAATTAACCAAATTTAAGGGTTACGGACACAATACTTTAATTTTTCACAGGTTTGTGGATGAAGTTTTTGTTTTTAAGCCCTTTTCCTATCTTTTTTCAGCATTTTATTTCTCGTTTCAGTTTCTCCTGATTTTTTTTATTCTTCAGATCTCAACTTCATCTGTTAAAAGCATACCATAACCAATATACTTTAAATAAATATATACACATGTAACTTGATACAGGTGTTATGTGCAAGTAGAAAAGTCAAACCTTGAAGAATAAAGCTCCCTAATATTTCTTCAATTATTTTTTTTTCTGTGAAGCATTCTATTTTTCTTCAAAGAGTTAAAACATACAATACTTTATCTGAAATTGGTGTAATTTTAGTTGTTTTCTTTTTTGAAATTTTTTGTAGCGTCCGTAACCAAATTACTTCCCAACTGTTTAACATTTTGAATGCAAATTTACTTGCATTTAACATATTTTAAGATATTACCTAATAAGCAACTAGACAATTGAAGCAATAATCACAAGAAATATGAGTTATTTAGCTAGTGATAATAATTTCTAACTATTTTTATATGTCATTGTGGGTGTCCAATCATTATTTTAGTACTTGCAGTAAAGAAAAAAACCACATGATCTAAAAGAAATCCAGCTAATAAACATCTTTTTATCTCTAAATTCAATAATACACTGTTTCAAAAATTTATCTGTAAATTTTATGGAGAAAAAATAAAGATATTTCAATTTTCAACTTTTGGTTACGGACACTACACACTCTACATCTTATTTACAATAGAATGAAACTTAACCTTAAACAGAGGAATTTCAACAAGATTTTCTTAAATGTAACACTAGTTGACTTAAACAATCAAAAAAATAATGACATGCTATTTGACTTAAATCCTAGGATGTCAATAGCATCTGCCAATATCAAGGTGATGTAACACCAAGGATCTTGTATATGAACTTGGTGCAATCTGGGTTTCCCAAATTAGTTGCAATATCAAAATGAGGGAGAAAAATAAAGTACAATGACTAACTTGTTAAACAATCTTCTGACCCTTGTGAATAAATTTGCATTAGTGTTTTAACACCGCCTGTTTAAAACTGCCTCAAATTCAGGTTACGGACACTGCATGGTTTTGTAGTGTCCGTAACCACATTTGTAATGATAACAGACAAACAGTGGTGATGATCAGGAAAATTACAACACATCTCAGCATCTATATGAGATGCCTATCTAGGAAATTAGTTAAGATATTCATAGAGCTTTCCAATTTCACAGAATGAAAGTGGTTACGGACACTACAGTTTTTTGTAAAAACTTAATTTTCCACATTAAAACATGATGAAATTTCATTTCAATTGTTACATTAACCCAACTTTTTTCTGTAAGTAACAGAGCATTAATACTGTGATGTTAGACAGAAATCTGAGAAAATAAATGATATGAACATTATTTTTATTCGGCATAATGCGAGGGGTGAAATTATATAAAAAATGTATAACATTGCACCCCTATTACACTTTCTTTCATATCTTCAAAAGTTGTTATTCAATCCTGAAAATTCAAGCACCAAAATAATTTGTAAAATAAATTCTAAAGTCTGATAATGATCATTTGCATGAAAATGTATGATATATAACAATTATTTCAATTGAAAAATGGTGTAATTTCAAAGTGCAACAGCATAACGCTAAAAAAAGGTCATTTTGGAGGTACATTTATTGCATTTACTTAAATTCTGTTAAGGCTAGATCAACAAAATTTTGCACACAAGTCCTTTATATGTATGCCTATGAATGAATTATGATAAATTACATATAAAGAAAATAACATTTCTAAAAATCATGCATAACAATGTGGTATTCTTAATGCGCCCTATATTGTGTTTCACCCGTAAGACAATTCACAAAATACATGAATGCATTAAACTCTGAAATACAGATTTTGTACATTTAATTAAAATGCACAGCATCAGTACCCCCCCCCCCCCTTCACAATCTTGCAACTTTCTTTTTAATTCAATACACTAGGCAACACTAAAGATTTCCACTTATTGCTTTTCAGTCCAAGACAGGAAGTTGAGGAATAAAGTTGACAGGACATCCTGAACTGTCCTCGCTACCAGCTTATGAGGGAACCAGCTGCAGTGGACAAAGTACGTTACATCATAGGATAATAGGTAAGTCTCCGGAGTAGTGTTTGTAGCAATTCTCGTACTTGGTCCTGCATCGAAGCTTCAGGACTATTGATATTTATCTCTGCATGGTTTGGTTCTTCCCAGAAACATGTTACTGGTGGTGGTCCCTATATTCTTCTGGCTTTTGTGGTGAGGAATGTTTCATTTCTAGCTCTTTTCTGATCACATTTTGTCTATCTAGCTGTTTGTCTGTCTGTCTGTCCATCTGTCTGTCTGTAAACTTTTCATATTTTCGACTTCTTCTCTAGAACCCATGGACCAATTTCAACCAAACTTGCCACAAAGCATCCTTGGGTGAAGGGGATTCAAGTTTGTTCAAATAAAGGGCCACACCCTCATTCAAGGGGAGATAATTGGGAATTAATGAAAATTTGATGGTATGTTTTAAAAATCTTGTTCTCAAGAACCACTGTGCCAGGAAAAATGAAACTTATGGAGAAACATCCTCAGGTAGTGTAGATTTAAATTTGTTCAAATCATGACCCCCGGGGGTAGGGCGGAGCCACAATGGCTGACCAAAGTTTAACATAAAAATATATAAGAAAATTCTTTAAAAATCTTCTTCTCAAGAATGACAAAGCCATAATTGATCCTATTTACATGTATATGGAAGCATCCTCAGGTAGTGTCGATTCAAGTTTGTTCAAATCATAACCCCCGGGGTAGGGCGGGGCCACAATGGAAGATCAAAGTTTTACATAGAAATACAAGAGGCCCACGGGCCTTATAGGTCACCTGAGTATTGTGCAACAACTTTCAAACAATTAAATTTGGTTTGTGTTTTAAAGCAGAGGCCATGAAATTCACAATTCACAACTTTGAAAGAGGCACCATTGCTTATCATAATTAAAGACTTAGCATGCTTACTCTATTTGTAATACTTAATATCCAGAGGAAGATTAGAGTAACATAAGAGAAAATGCACTTCCACTTTATAACCAGTTGTGCACCTCATCCCAAAGGAACCACTGAACCTAGGGCCACATATTTCAAAATTGTGCAAATTTTATCATACAATGGTTGATTAATACCAAAGAGCAGATTTCAAAGCATTAATTTACTTTCAGACTTTGTACCCCCCCCCCCCCCCCCCCCGGGGGGGGGGGGGGGGGGGGGGGCATGAAAAAACCGTTTTGCTAGATGCAAATTTCTTCATCATAATTATATATATTTGGATCATTGGCATAAAACCCAGGAGCAAAGGAAAGATTTTCAAAGAATAAATGAATTTTCACTATAAAACCAATAGAGCCCCGCCCTAACACCATAACCCCTGACCCTGGGGTCATAAAATTCACAATTTTGGAAGACTTGCTCATCATAACTATGTACTTGGATAATTTACTTAATACCCAGGAGCAGAGAAGAAGATTTCCAAAGAATTAATGCATTTTCACTATATAATCAATAGGGCCCCACCCTAACACCAGAAACCCTGACCCTGGGGCCACAAAATTCACAATTCTGAAAAAGGCACTCTTGATCAACATAACTATGTACTTAGTTAGTTAATTTAATACCCAGAAGTTGAGAAGAAGATTGTCAAAGAATAAATGCATTTTCATTATATAACCAATAGAGCCCCGCCCTAACACCAGAACCCCTGACCCTGGGGTCATAAAATTCACAATTTTGGTAGAGGCACTCTTTCTTATCATAACTATGTGTTTGGTTAGTTTATTTAATACCCAGGAGCGGAGAAGAAGATTTTCAAAGAATTAATGCATTTTCACTATATAATCTATATAGCCCCGCCCTAGCACTAGAACCCCTGACCCTGGGGCCATGAATTTCACAATTTTGGTAGAGGACTCAATGCTCATTACATTCATGCCAATAGTTTGCCTGCTTGATGTCCCGGAGTAAAGAAGAAGATTTTTAAAGATTGTAATAATTTTAGTGGTTTTGGCCCCACCCCTGAGGCCCCAGGGGGGCGGGGACCATAAAATTCACAATTTTTGTTCCCCTTCACCCATAGATGCTGTATACCAAATTTGGTTGAAATTGGTTCAGCGGTTTCAGAGAAGAAGCTGAAAATGTTCAATTGTTAACACACGACGCACGACACACGACGACGGACGAAAACGGATAGCAATAGGTCACCTGAGTTACTCAGGTGACCTAATAAAGGAAAAATCTTTAAAAATCTTCTCAAGAACAGCAAAACCCTGATTGATCATATTTATATGGAAGCATCCTTAGGTAGTGTAGATTCAAGTTTGTTCAAATCATGTCCCCCGGGGGTAGGACAGGGCCACAAAGGATGATCAAATTTTATATAGAAATATATAGGAAAATTCTTTAAAAATAACCTTCTCAAGAAAAGCAAAGCCATGATTGGTCAAGGGACTACTTTTGGATTTAAACTTTTCAATAAAAAACCAATTTTTACTTTTTCCTAGCCACAGTGCTCAGGTGAGCGATGTGGCCCATGGGCCTCTTGTTTTTTTTTTTTGTTTTTTTTTAAAAATGATCAATCATTAAATATAAATAAATCAGTTGTTAAAAAATTTGCTTCATATTTGAAGTGCTTTAAACTGACCCTTTGATGAAAGTGACCAGTGTTTTTTGCACCTTGAAAGGTTTATTGGTAAAATATAAGAAGGAAGTTATGATTTTGGTGTTACTATTGTTGTTATTTAAGTTTGATTTGATTTTTATATTACGAGTATTATGAAACTGTTATTTTGTTACTGACCGATTGTTAATTTTAATTGTGAACAAATGTACAAAGATGAGGAGTATAATATAGTTGGCTATGTATATTGCCCAATTTTTGAACATACTATGTAATAAATATTAATAACAACCTTTGAATAATTGGAAAGACAATATTATAAATATGATAGCATTTTTGTACATGAGCATACATTTTTGAAAGGAAAAATAAATTATTCAATTGCATTAAAAAAAATATTTTGTTTCATATTCTTGCGAATTATCAGATCATTCTTCTTTTATTTAAATACTCTGTCATTATGAAACCTTGTTAATAATTAAGTAAATATTAATTGTACATTTGCACCAATTTTTACATGGCATTTTCACACTAAGAATGCCACGTGCAAAATTATATACAGGAACAATTCTGAACAAATATATGCAAGTGAGTTGTAAATTTGATATGTAATGCATACATTACAAAAACCCATGACAGTGTTCACTAAAATGAAATGTATGGACTCTTATATAAATACTTGGTATATGTGATATGGATATTATGGATGATATTTTTGAGAATGACACAAGTAATGAAATTTTTCAGCATTGAATTGGATTCTTGAACCAGAGCCATGTGAACCTGGTCCACCTGTACCTCTCATTGAAGACCTGTTAACATCACCAGAGTATGTTCATTCTGATACCCCTATGGTATGGTTACAGCATGCATTATCCCTGAATCCATTAAAAGAGCTGCATTGGCAACGAAACAACCCAATGTGGTCGATTGTAAGGAAATAAAGCATATCAGCTTCCAACTTTGGTGCAGTTCTCAGTTCTAAGCAAAGGCGGTAAGACGTGTGATTAAATTTTTGCGAAAAAGACTTTTAAAATTACAGTCAAACTTTGTTATCTCAAACCCATTATCTCATATTTCATGGATATGTCAAAGTAATTTTGAAGTCCAAACCATTTATAAAAGACTGGGACATTTTATTCTTGATAACTCTTTATGTATTATTCTTGAATCCACGGATATTTCCAACATTTTTCTTGGTCTCATTGAGTTTGAGATAATGAGGTTCGACTGTAATGACTAGATATTTGTACATAAAGATGCAGGAAATATAAGATTAATAACCAAAAATCATATTTTCTTCTCCAGATTGACATTGTCACTGAAGAAACAGCTGATGTCGGCTTACAATCTGGAGTCCATCAAGGCTGTTGCATGGGGTATCACTCATGAAGATGATGCTTTGAGAAAGTATGAAAAGGACTTTGATGCAGCTGTAGAGCAGTCAGGTATACAGCACAAAATAACATTCATTCAACCTCTGACATGTTAACATTCAATGTGTCAAAACAAATAACAGGACTTATCCTGGTGAGAAACAGAAATCAATTACTGAAGTCTAATTGTAAAAGAAAAACTAGAAATATGTCCATAGGACATGAATGCCCCGCCGAGGATATATTAGTAAAGCAACATGAAATTTGTACATGTATAAAATTTGATCAGTTTGGTTCAGGCAGGGCTTATAGTTAGTTGGGAATAAAAATGTAGGTCCAGCATCCAAAGCAAGTCTGGTAGTGTCCATCCCTAGATGCATCATCCATGCAAGTTTGGTTCAGGTAGGGTTTATAGTTACTTGGGAATGAAAATAAAGGTCAGATCCAGCATCCGAAGCAAGTCTGGTAGTGTCCATCCCTAGCTGCATCATCCATGCAAGTTTGGTTTAGGTAGGGCTTATAGTTACTTGGGAATGAAAATGTAAGTCAGATCCAGCATCCGAAGCAAGTTTAGTTCAGGTAGGGCTTATAGTTCCTTGGGAATAGACCTGCTCCAAAAACTTGAACCTGGTCACTCATCTGGAAAATGTAGGTCAGATCCAGCATCCGAAGCAAGTCCGGTAGTGTTCATCTCTAGATGCATCATCTATGCAAGTTTGTATCAACATGTAAAGTTTGATAACACCATCTTGAATGGTATGTTTAAAACTGAGCTAAACACTATTTAAGAAAAGTCAGGTCAAGGTCAAAGGAAAGGTCAAGGTCAAAAAATGTTGTTGCAGTTGCATAGCTCTCATCAATATCTATCAGCATATGAAGTTTGATGAAAATATCTTGGATAGTTTCTTTGAAACTTAACTTTGAACAGAGCTAAACACAAAGTGGGATGGAAGGACAGAAGGACGGAAGACGGACATGACAAACACTATTTGCCCCGGCCATATTCATGGCAGGGCATAAATATTCAGTTACCAACATATTCCAGAAAATTTGCTTTTTGAAGTGGAAGGATTATAAAAGCTCTACTTAGACTTTGTTTGCATTACAAAATCAATTGTATAATGGTTTGTTTGCATTCAGTAGTATTATAATTTTTTCTGAAAAGGATATGGTTGCATGAATCCAGAGTGTTGGGAGCTTCACCTGATGGCTTAGTTGTTCGACCACCAACATGCAGTGTATTTTATCAAACTCCAGAAGCCAAAGACGCCATTCCTGATATTGTAGAGGTGAAGTGTCCATATACAGCATCGTCTTCAACAGTAGCAGATGGGGCACAAAATTTGAAGGATTTTTCATAGGTAAATAACATTAAAAATCTGTATTGTCCAGTACCTTGAAATTAAAAATCTTGGTGAGTAAATGATTTCAAAACATGTATTAATTTACAAGTGCAGCTGTTCAATATGGTATGAAGATATTGAAAAAGGAGGGGATATGTACTGGTATAACACAACTTAAGTGTTTTTTGATTTTTTTTTTAGATCTTAAACAAGATACCCTGTGCCTGAAAACCAGTCACCCATACTATCATCAAATTCAAGGCCAGCTACACATATGTAACAAAACATTCTGCGACTTAATTGTGTGGACAAGAGTAGACTGCATTGTGATTAGAATAGTAAAAGACATTGAATGGACAGCAAATGTTCCAAAGCTGATAGATTTCTACATTAACATTTTCATTCCAGCACTGATGGAAAACTGAGTTCTGGTTTGAACTTCTTGACACTTAGTTTTGTACCTCTAGAATTTTCTAACAATGGAAAATGGGTAATCATGTTAAATGTGTTGAATGTTCCTAAGTCTCATAAATGTATGACATGATATGTCACAATCCATCATAAAACTTCTGGCTTATAAGACTATTTTAAATAGCAATGATGATTAATAAAATCTATGTACTACATAAAAAAAGAATATCAAAATTTAGAATCATTTTATTAATGAATTGAAGATGTTATTCTCAAAGTGAAAATGTAACATTTTTGTCTTTCTTAATAGATAAATTGTTGAAAACATGAATTTGTTGAGTTGTGCTTTAAAGGTAAATATACTTTAAACTAGAGATTTAAAATTATAAGTAAACCCTCTTCCAAATTATATTGTCAAATGAAGAATGGAATTGCCAAACATTCTTGTAATAAATCCATGCTAACAAAAGGGATTTTCATTTTCTGAAGTACATGTATTACAACATACTACAAAATTAACAAATATAACCATTGACATTGATAACAAATCAAAATTTGCTTATCCCTTGCACTTTGGTATGAATATCTTCACTGTTTAGTGTATACTGTCACACGCCAATGCAAATTTATAATAAGTACATGTATCTTTAAGTAATTTCTTTCAAAAGTGGAGCTTGCAAGTTTACAAGACAAGAACAGAGTTGAAATATTTTTGTTGAGATTGGTCTGTAAGTAGATGGTATGTAACGGAGAATCTCGTAATTCTTTATCCTCTCGTTGGCTCTTTCCACATGAATAAGTGCTTTAGCAATCTTGTAACACAGTGCTGCTTCTTGTATGGTAAACTGGCCTCGTGTCGATAAAAGAGCTTTTATAATTAAGCAGACACCCTGGGGCAACTGGTCATGAATGGTGAAACCTTTGACCACCAAAATAAGGTCTCCAGCTTTGAACTTTCGTAAAACTTGGCTGTGACGTACAATAGCTACATCAGAAGTAGAACCTGGGTACAGCATGGAGCAAAATGTAAGTGCACCATTTGGAGGCACGCAAGTTACTGCTTTAAAAGTATGGCAACTTTTGTACATACTGTAGGCCATGGCCTGATTATCCATATGTGTTGGGATGTCCTGGGTTGTTTCAATTGCATCCATGGATGCTCTAGCAGAGGAAAAATCCTCAAAAGATTTTGGCAGAGACCCTGAAAAAAAGTTGGAAAAAAATTAATTTGATTATTTGTAATTGTGTAAAAAAAATTGTGTTACAGTCAATTTTTCAAGAATACAATAAATTTAACTGCATTAAATTTTTGCAAGTCATTATGATAAATTTTAAAACAAACCTTTGCATTTAAGCTGACTTGGAAAACATTCTACGCTACATTCTACACTACGCCATCAGACAGCATCTTGTATAGGGAAAAGACCACTAATTATTTTCCCATAGAACTCCATACAAACCTTAGGCCTTCTCAGTACTTTACTATGACAATTTCAGAAAAATCTTTAGCATCATTTCAAACTTCGTTCTAAGCCCTAACAAAAAATACTGAAAAAAATATATGGTCCCATGGCGTTTATAGGTCAAAATTGCAGTTATTTTCAACTTATAGAGATTCACAGTAAATAACATGCGGCATAAAAAATCATCCCCCACTCCTAAAATCTTCCCTGGCATTTCTATAGTTTCTGTAATATACCCTCATCCTATCATTTATTTCAAAGGTCATTAATTTTACTTTAAAATGAAAACAATTAAATACCTGATTTCAGCCAATGGCGTAACGCCTACCCATTCAGTATTCGGTTTAATGTTCCATAACAAACAAAGCCATGTGTGCATCCGGGGATTTGGTGCTCTCATTCCTATACTTACATACTTACCTGTCCCAGAATTAGTCAATTGTGGTAATTTCAAAGACTATACACCTACCTGTGAACATGTATGAAATTTGAGTCCTGTGACTTCAGTGTATTGGATACTGTGACCATCTCAAATGATGACACCTTACTGCTACCAGCACAATTCAAAGGAGTGAATGACGTCTGGGCCGGTGATGATATTTGGATATATTGGTGACTGTAATAAATAAAATATTTGTACAATGAATTGTTTTTGTGCTTTAATGTTAATAAAGTGATATTAACTAATTAGGTAAAAAGCTCCAAAATTGGATAAATCATAGTTAATTAAGCAAAATTCAAAGGTTTCAAAAAGACTGATATAGAATTTTTTTATGCTTATGCAAAGTATATTATTTAAGACTCTGATATACTAATTGATTCTTATCTAATCCCTCCTATTGCTTAAGTATGTACAAAAAAGTTTCCCCACCCCCCAGTGAAAAACACTTAAAGAAATAGCAGGTGTCCCCTTTTATTTTTGTTTACAATTAATTTAGACAAGTTTAAATCAATCCTTTTGATAACAAATCAAAGTTCAATGTCTGTAGTCTTATACATTACAATCAGAAGCTACTTTTTGAATTTTATTCTAAGAAAAGGAGAATTTAAATAATTTTTTTTTTAAAAATTAAAGAAAAGCAAAAACTGACTTCAAACCCCAAAATGTACTATACAATAAGAGGCTGGAAAGTTAATAAATAAAAAATTTACCTGCAATGTACAGAAAACTGTCCGACAAAATACATCGGGTGGGTAGGGAGTCTCCATTTTCTTCTTATATAGAGAAAATGCCCCTGCTGATCAGAGACCTAACACTCCCAAATAATAACAAAATATGTTAACATAACAGTCAATCTAAGATGTTCATCCCTCAATGGCAACAAGTTTTTATTACAGTAACTGAAATTGTTAGGAAATAGGAAATCACATTTAGAATTCCTTTAAATGTACCTTCTCTTCGTTGTATTTAATATCGTGGATTGATATTGGCTTCCTTTTACTAGACTCTATTTTTAGGGCAAGCAATTCCTTTTCCAGTTGTATTTCTGTTGAGAGGCGCTGCATTTCTTGAGTACAGTTAAATGTGCAGGATGCTGAGTAGTTGTGCTCTGATATCAACTGAAAATATATTGTAAATCATGTACAGTTAAAAGAACTTTATATATTATTAAAAATTATTGAAAATGTTTCAGTGTTGGTCATTTGTCATCATTGGTGTTTTAAATGAGCTTTACTTTTTCTTGATATTGACATTTTGGTGCTTGTGGAATCTGCAACTGGTCCATCTGTGAAGATATGACAGGGACTCCTCACTTTTGAGTTTTTTCCTCCTTGGTAAAATAATTAAACTTGAATTATTTTTTTATTCAGTTGTAAGCTACTCTGTTTATACATGTACCCTTTTAAAGATTTTTAGTAAAATATTCTCAATTAAACTCCACCCACCCACCATCCAAAAACAAGATGTTGGTCATATTTTGAAAAATAATTTCACCTTTTTGTACATTCAGGATCAGAGAAATCCATGGCCTTTCCTTCATTCCATGCAAAATATGCAGGGTCCCCCTCCTTCTTACCATCCTTAAAGTGGCAGGAGCAGATGCTATCATTCTGATCTCCTGGTTGGCGATCAGCTCGTCTAAAAATATACATTATACAAAGACTGAGTGAAGGAGAATTAAAAAGCAAAACATGTTCATTTAGCATGTTATTATCAAATAGCCTAAATGACTTATTTTTTCATTATTTTTTTTTTAAATGTTACATTTACTTGCAAGTACAAGATAACCATGTGCATAACATTAACAAACGGTAGCAGTATTTGGTAGTAATAATACGAAATAAAATGTAATAAAAACAGCTGTTAAACAAAAATTAATCTTGCTACAAATTGCACAGTTTTTGTAGTATGTACTCTTCATTATTCTTCTGCTATATTGATTACTACGAGATTTAACTTTTTAGCATGCATGTATAAATACTGTATCTGACAATGCAGCATCGTGACATATCGTTACAAGTACCTACAAATTTTGTCAATATATCTACGTTTACTGAGTTTTTTCCCTAGCAGGCCGAAATATCTCCATCATGTCACCAGGAACAACACTCGTGCATCTCGTAATTAGTGCTGCAATAAACAAACTGATGTGTTTTTTCTCACCTGCATGGTTTTCCCGACGCTTCAGCTACTTTCGTTATTTCTAACCAATGAAAATTGTCCTTACTTTTCTGTTGCGTCATGCAATTTTATTGCACGCATCACTGAATTGTAGAACACACATCACAAGATTTCGAATATACATCACAAGATTATCGAACATACATCACAAGATTTCGAATATACATCACAAGATTATCGAACATACATCACAAGATTTCGAATATACATCACAAGATTTCGAACATACATCACAAGATTATAGAATATACATCACAAGATTTCGAATATACATCACAAGATATTGAATATACATCACAAGATTTTGAACATACATCACAAGATATTGAATATACATCACAAGATTATAGAATATACATCACAAGATTTCGAACATACATCACAAGATTATAGAATATACATCACAAGTTTTAGAATATACATCACAAGATATTGAATATACATCACAAGATTTTGAACATACATCACAAGATTTTGAATATACATCACAAGATTTCGAACATACATCACAAGATTATAGAATATACATCACAAGATTTCAAATATACATCACAAGATATTGAATATACATCACAAGATTTTGAACATACATCACAAGATATTGAATATACATCACAAGATTATAGAATATACATCACAAGATTTCGAACATACATCACAAGATTATAGAATATACATCACAAGTTTTAGAATATACATCACAAGATATTGAATATACATCACAAGATTTTGAACATACATCACAAGATTTTGAATATACATCACAAGATTTCGAACATACATCACAAGATTTTGAATATACATCACAAGATTTTGAATATACATCACAAGATTTCGAACATACATCACAAGATTTTGAATATACATCACAAGATTATCGAATATTGAAACGTTTGACATGCCATATATTAGACATTTTTGAAAGATATCTCTTTCACTTTGAGAGATATCTCTTAAGATAAACTAAGAGAGATATCTCTTTTACTTTAAGAGATATCTCTTTAACTTGAAAAGATATCTCCCAAAGTAGAAGAGATATCTCTCTAGGTGAAAGAGATATCTGCTCAAGTGGAAGAGATATCTCTTATAAAAAGAGATATCTATCTAAGTATAAGAGATGTCTCTCTAAGTGTAAAAGATATCTCTTTCTCATTGAGATATCTCTCAAAAATGAGAGATATCTCTTTAAGCTTGGAGATATCTCTATTTTTTAAGAAATATCTCTCTAAAATGATTTTAATGTAAATGTAATTTTAAGATAAATTTTATTTTCCGAATAAATAGCAAAAGGGCTTGCCATAAAGGTGGCATAATGGAAAGCCGTATCTTGAGTGACGTTGTTACGCGCCAACGTCACCGTCATGCTTGGTTGGAAACCTTTCAAAATTGTCTCGGACAGCTGAAAAAATGCGTTTGATGGAAAAATTAAAAACAAACTACACAGCAACGTATTTTTTTTTTATTCACTTACATGTACGCAATTCAATTATTAGACCCAATGAAACTTCCTTCAGCCATACCATGATTACAAAAAATTTATACTGACTGCAAATATGCAAAAACGATGTCTTTGCCTTCAGTGCATCAACTGGTACTACAAGATGTGACCACAAAACTGTCATCATCCATATGCTAGTGTTTTGGGCTTTTTAGCACCTTCCTTATGTGACATGATAATTTCATGGATGAGTAGCTTTGAGCACCGAATTTAGTAACCAAGGTCGAAAGTAGACCTCTGACCAGTTTTCATAATTTTCGGCTACAAAGTCGAACATTTTTCGCATATTATTTTCTCATAGATTTCTTTTTCCTTTCAGTATGAGTATGATATACTAGACAGATACACATGTATTACACATTGCAAATAATAATGTTTTGAAGTCTTTGAAATATGAAAAACTTGCTACAATGATAAAAAAAAATATAAAATCGATGAACTGATTGACAAACTCAGAATAGGTTTCTGTATGTCATAATTTTTAAAACAATGTATTTAGTACACAACATAAAATATGTCAGGAGAGCAAAACAATAGCGTAAAATAAGGTCACTGAGCAAAATCCAGCAGTTTTTTTAAGAAAGCTTGTATGGGCCTATCAGAATTCTTCTTATGGCTTACATTTAAAGAATTGACTTCATTTAATGGAGAGAAAGAATCTTTTTTTTGGGGGGGGGGGGGGGGGGGTTTAGGCGGGTGTTGCTAAAACGCGGAACGGAAAACGGAACGGAAAGCGGAACGGAACGGAAAACGGAATATATTATTTTGGATTAAATCACTTAAAATACACAACTTTTATCATAAACGATATATCTTGTACACATTCAATCCCCCACTATTAAATACAAGTTGATTTTGTCATGATAAGTCTCTTATTTACGAAAACCGCTAACACAGCAGTCACCTAGAATCATTTGAAAAAGGGGTGGGGGTGGATAAACAACTTGAAAAGTATTTGACAAGCAAAAACAAAAAGAGAAGACAATTGTTTGATTCAGGAGGGGAGATAAGTTCCAACTCCAACATCTTTCAGATATTTTTTTACACTAATTTACTACATTAATTACATTCACAAAAAGTGTGAGGATGTCAACTTGAACGAACATTTCCGTAATTATGACTGAAAATATTTGATATCTAGATTGACCATGGAAAGAGGAATAAAATTTTATATTAAGATATTACGTGTAGAAACCTTTACGGCAAGCTCGAATTAACATCTCTTATATATACACTGGTTGTTAAAAATGTCATTCAAAAGAGTCGCTTTCTATATATATAAATTCGATCTGGATAGACAAAGTTGGAAAACTTTCATGTGGTAGATATAATGCAGAATCTTTGCATTCAATGAAGTTAAATTTTGTTTGTTTGCGGTACATATGTGTGTGTGTTGGGACGGGGGGAGGGTATATGAGTGACCACGTAAAAAATGAGTTTGTTTTCCCGCTCATCGGAAAGGTCTGAGAAGTTGTAGTAGGTCATCCTCACAATGACAAACCCTTGACATTGTGAGGATGGTAATAGGTCTACCCCCTTTTTTGTGTCCTAAATATACATAAGATTTAATAAATCAATTTTAAATGTGGCTGTGGGCCCCTACCCAGACCCGAAACTGTCACTCCCCATTTCATGATTCGCGAATTCGACACTGCGTGCATAATATGAATATCATAACCAGTTATTTTTGTCTTTACAGACATTGGCATTTGAAACAAATTGAAATGGATCATCTTTCCAACATACAACAAATTTGACATGAAAAAAAAAACACAAAAAAAAACCGGGGGTATATTTCCTTTGCCGAAACACAAAATTCCTATTTTGTGTGTGTGTTTAGGGGGGGGGGGTCGAATTTTTTGTTGAGAGGGGGGGGGGATCGCTTGTACACCAGTTCTGAACGGAGGGTGTGTATGACTCATGAATATATAACAGTTTGCAATAAATTTTTATCAGAAATGAATTTTACACCAAGAATATTGCTCTTTTATCTGATTTATATCGAATTTATGTTAATTGTTTGACTAAAATTTTCCGGATTTCCGCTTTCCGTTCCGTTTTCCGTTCCGCGTTTTAGCAACACCCGGTTTTCACCCAGTTGACCTATTGCTTACCATTTTCGTCCGTCGACTTGCGTTGTTATGCAGTCGTGTGTTAACATTTAAAGACTTTAAGCTTCTTCTCTGAAACCACTGAACAAAGTTTAGCATATGCATCTACATGGGTAAAGGGGAACAAAATTTGTGAATTTCACCCCTGGGGCCTGAAGAGTGGGGCTTAAACCATAAAAAATAGTGCTATCTTTAAAAATATTCTTCCTTACTCAAACTGTTGGCATGCTTGTAATAAGTATTGAGCCCTTTACCAAAATTTTGAAATTCATGGCCCCAGGTTCAGGGGTTCTTGGGTTAGGGTGGGACTCATGGCCTCAGGTTCAGGGGTTCTTGGGTTAGGGTGGGATTTTGAAATTCATGGCCCCAGGTTCAGGGTTCTTATGTTAGGGTGGGACTCTGTTGATCATTTAGTGAAATTCATGAATTCTCTAAAAATTTCCTCTGCTCCTGTGTATTAACCCAATAAACTACGAACATAGTAATGACGAGGAAGCATGCCTCTTCTAAAATTGTGAATTTCATGGCCTCTGGATTAGGGATCTGGTTTTAGACTGGACTCTATCACTGATTTAATAGTGAAAATGCATTAATTCTTTGAAAATCTTTCCCTCCGCTCCTGGATATTGAACATACTAACTTCATACACAGTTTTAATGAGCAAGGGCTTTTCTTTCACGATTATGAATTTCAAGGCCCCTGGATCAGGGATTCCAAGATTTATCTGTTTTTGGATTTTTATGAAGCAATATACACATATAGCTTTTTGATGAGACAGATCCAAAGACATAGAGACCTTAGAGAAAGCTTATACTATAGTAAACCGAAAATATAATGCAGGATCGATATGTTTTTCTGTCAGGTCGATTGCACCAAATCAGAAGGCTATATTTGTTATGTAATTTTATTATTTTTTTAGTAGTTAATGAAAAATAAATAAAATATATTAATATCATTCTAAAAATCAATCTAATGAAAATACAAATATTCAACTTGTGGTACTTGACACTTTTAATGATAACACACAATAGTAGCAGCTTAGTGTTGTTGTACAAACCAAAAGTTTCTTATGTTAGTGTCATGGCTTACGTAATTATATAGAGGGAAATTAATAAAAGAAAATCAGATGATTATGAAGGACAAAGTTTAATCTCATTATACTGTAGCTGCAGAACTGTAGCTCTGCGAAAAAAAATATGATTGTATATTGACAAACCGGTGTCCATCCCAATTTTTTTCCAAACCAGCCAGGTTACAATATGATGCTGAGATTACTAAAATGGAATTCTAAAAATAAATTTAAAAAAAACTACATTATCTAATTTTGGTCTGTTTGAGATAAATTTTAGAAAAATCATCCAGTATTAAATGTTTCTTCTTGACTATATAAGAGATGATTGTTTTGCGTTATGGCACGCCAAATTCACAAAAATGAGATAAACCTAGAATAAACTAGGAGAAATGCTAGTAACTAATAATGAGTTTTTTTCTCAACTTTTAGACTAATGCTTGGTTCACTTTTCTAAATCCAATATTGTATTAGTTTTAATAATTTTAAATGTAATAGTCAGCATTAGCCAAATTCAGATGTGTGGATATTTTAAGTTCAAATTACTCAATAATGCTTATGTACAAACTTATTGTAGTTCTTT